AAGTTGACAACTCTTCATGTTTTGACATTACAACATCATCCTCCTGACATGTAGAGTCGTCAACTTTTTGAAGGCCATAGATAGGCCTAAATAAAATGTTTTTAATTGTGTACCAGTTTAACATTGAATATTATTCATGATTTTAGTTGTGATGTATTTATGATTTTAACTTTATACACAAGTGCCAAAATACTATAATTACATCACAACTGTTCATTTTATTCTTCATTCACAATATTATACTAAGAAACTCCCTTGTTACAAAACTAAGTGTTTTAGACTGATCCCTGAGCTTCAGTATCATTGGAAGTTTTGTTGTTCCCAGGGGAAGGAGTTAGTAATCTTGGGGCACTGAGACTTATTGCTGCTGCTCCCAATGGTGCTGTTACCAGAATGGCCAAAACTGCAATTGTAAGGACCTACACAATAGCAAATTGTCTATAAATACCATATATTTCAGACTTGTCACAAAAACAGTTAATATTACATTTCATTTGGTGCAAAATTTAATCATGGTTAAAATAGCACAGCACTAAAATACTCAATATCAACAAAATCTTGGACTATTACTATCAGAATCGAGCCCTTAGCCTGCAGGATCTGGTTATTTGCTTTTCATTACAGACTACTAAAATAACTTGTGTAACAAAAATGTTTGCAACAGATATTTCAAAGATGGGAACAATGTTTAAATATTTTATAAAGAACTTACAAAAAAATACAAGCAATACTTCACACAAAATTATGTTGTCATAATTGATCTCCAGAGGATGCAATTCACACTTCCCAATATTTCATTTTGCAGGCAACAAGAACCAATTTTAGGATTTTACATGACTGAAATTAATTTCTTATCAAAATTTGGAATTAGCTAACTTGTGAGCAGAAAGGAGTGAATACAGAAATATGAGATAACTTTATAATAGTTTAGCAGTAATCACATCAAATTACCATGCACTAAACCAGCATACAATATAAACTATATATATATACCTTAATACCAAATGCTTCCATTTCAGGACCAGCTTTAGTATTTCTAGCATAGTCAAGAGCTACAGGACCAAATGCAGCCTAAAAAGACAAAAATCATTATTGAAAAATAACATTATTATCATATTCACAATTTGGAATTATCTTTACCAAGATCACAAGTTTTATTCCATACAGAAAAAAAATAGCTTATGTTTATACTCTTAAAGCATGTCACTACTATTTTCTTTTCTGAAATTCTAAGTCATTCTGACTGCAAAATGTTAGATAAGCAACATTAATTTCAAGAACATGTAAGTGATCGGTATACATTTAGGTCATAATATTGTTTCATCATTTCACCAATTATAAGTATATTACTCTCAGTTATAATTTTTTTTTTAAATACATGCATACTGAGTACTTTTTGATATTGATTTAAATACTTTATACAAGCTTTTCTTACAGCCAGATGGGAATTTTTATCCACAAGTAATAAAGAATCTTATGAAGTAGCTTTCAAAGAACATTTTGGTCACTTAATTTATATTAAAAGTGCACAGAATAATTTAGCAGCAACTGTATCTATTGCTAAGATTTGGAATTTTAGAGGGATTAATAATTGTCACAGAGATCATTGGAAGCACCTTTGGAAAAGCACATCAAAGAAGATTACAAGGATTTACAGAGTGTAAAAACATTTCTGAGGAATACCTGAAGAATTTGAAATAACTCAGTGGAAGTCTTAAGAAAGTGTACTTTTAATTAATAAAAATACAACAAAAGTATGTATGTTATTACACTGGAAATATCAATAAAGTATCCTACATTTCAATGGAACATCTAGATCTGAAATATCCTTTCAATTAGAATATAAAAACAAAATTTGCAATTAAATCTACAAAAGCAAACTACAAGTAACTTTTGTTAAGAACATTTATAAGTTTAATTCTTACCTGGACTGTGGCTTTTGGTAACCATGCTAAGGCTACAAAAACTTGTTCTGAGATGTTAAGATTGGCTTTGAAAACTACCAAAAAGGTCACAATCATACGTATAAAAAGCCCAATACCTAATGTAGCAAGTCCCAAACCTAAAATAATAATAATAATCTTAGTAATTACGGCATAAACATAGCTAAAATATAGATATCTAAGATTTATTTTAATGTTCAGCTAAATACTGTCAAGGACACAATTATCTTCACTTAAAACTAGCAACAACAACATTGCATTTTTCTGTTTTGGAATACTAAAATATAACAATAAGTAATAATTATATTATTAACAATTAGAAGCATTAGAATGAAAGTCTCATAAGGAAAATATAGTTTCTTCATTGAAACTATTCCAATGAAAATCCCTCTAATTACTAAGTCTGACTCTTATCAACTTACTCCTCTCACAAAAAATATATATTTATGAGCAAGATCAAAATGTTTGTTAAAGTCACTCAATTAAATAATACTCTAGAAACACAATAAGTGAAAATACTCAATTTACAACATAAAACCGGAGGATTTAAAATCTCAAAATATATATATATATTCTTTTTTATGACTCATATACACCACTTTTTGGTCTCATAGCTCAAGACTTCTACTGCCTACTTGTACATCAAACAACTCTCTTATGTGCTTACCACATTTGCTCATTAAAGTAAAAAAAAATAATGTCTGTTATATAGTCCAGTTAGTTGGAAAAGCATATTTTTAAATAGGTCTGTATAGTCAGCAAAAATCAGTAGTTTAGTCTTCACCTCAAAATATAAAATCTACAAACATGGGAACAGCATGGATTTCCAAAGATAATTGTTCTGAACCTGTAACCAAAACAAGTATATACCTTGGTTAAGTAAAAAAAACAAAAACTCTTTCTCTTTGTCATTACCAGTCAACTACATAATAGGGATATAAGTGGGCTCTGAAAAGAAAGACATTTAGATAACAGAATTTAAAAAAAAGTAACAAAGATATCCAGATGTTGGCTTAGGAAATGACATTGGAACAGGAAAGCAAAAACACACCAGAAGACAACTTTGAGAGACATATCACTCAATTAGAAAAAAATAAAACAACTTGAACAAGTTAATTTGGGCACCCATAAGCAATCAGAGAATCTGACATGGGGTACTTGAAAAAATAATCAGTGAAGAGATGGTCTAAAGTTTATCACCCTTATATAACCTTTCTTGAGTAGTGATGAAACCTTGAAGAAGGGCAAAGTGGAATACAGACTTTTAGAAATAAACTACACACCATATTAGATCATTTAAAAATCATACATTAACATAGAACTTGCTATATTTTAAAACTTTAAAAAAATATGTTGGACAAAAGAAGTAAAATGTAATATTTCTTGGACCTATTCCATTCAAGATCAAGATGTGAAGAACATGAATGTGACTCATGTACAGTAAATAGTATAGAGGAATTTCAAACAACAATGGCTAAAACAAAATCACAGACAGCTTTATAAGATATGTTACAAACTAAATGGCCGTTTTCATAAACATTTGACAAGAACATTGTTGTAGCAGTAATATCCTGGTGATTGTTCACCTAGTAACACTTAAAACTGTTACATGTAATAATAATTTAAAAAAAGAGAGAGCGCAAGAGACTGTAAACGATGTCAGGGCCAAATGAAACCTCATACCAGAATTAAAATATTGGTAAACAGTATGATAGTAGTATTAGTATTCCTACAAAAAGAACGGTGCATGGTTAAAAATAAACATGAATATTACTATGCTCTCAAAAATTATTAAATGATAATGAAAGAAAGAAAGAAAAAGTTTGCATACAAACAAATAAACTTTTGGAACTTCTGGCTAGAAAGTAAAAATCATTACATGATAACATACATCTAAGCAAAGTTTCTTAAGACTTCAATGAACCAGTACAATTTAAGTAGACTCCTACCTTATACAATGGTTGTTTTATTAATCATCTGATTGCTATAAGATGGCTAAGATGTACAAATTTTAGGGCAAAATATAACTTGTCCTTTTTATCTAACTATAGTAATTACTTAAACACAAATTAGAAAGTTATTACTTGGATTCTATTCAATAGATTATAAGAAACATATGTTTAAAAACTTCCAAGTTTTGTAATCAGTATGTTAAACATAGAGCAAAGCCACTTTTGGCTATCTACTGTGCCAACTGCAGGGAATCAAACCACAGATTTTAGTGTTGTAAGTTTGTAAACTTACTGCTATCCCACCTATTACTAGAACCACAAACAACTTTCAAGTATATAATTATAAAAAAACAACAACAATACCTCAATTCCAAATATTTTAACGAGACAACCAAACCACTCTAATGAAAAACTGATAAAACAACAACAAAACCTATGTATCAAGTTTTTAACAATACTGTAAACCCCAGAAAAACTGGAAGTCAACTGAAATAGAATGTATTATATCCATATTGTTGGAAACTCATAGCTTTAACATTATAAAAAAAGTTAATATTTCTTTAAAAAAGATTTAACTACTAAAAAAACAATTATAATAATTGTGATAACAGTACTATATTTGCAATTTGATACATTTTCTAAATACAAAAATACAGTGTTCATCAACATTTTCACATCAAACTGACAGTTACTTCTGCTATAACCATTCTTCTTTCTTTTACTGGTAAATTCTAGTAGATTAGACAAGTCCAGTCTGCCTAGAGAGTAAATGTCTCTTAAACATTTTCTAGTACATTGTACTTCACAATTAACATAAATATAAATTCTTAAATTTAGTGAAACTACTCAGTTTTATTGATTTCTGTAGAAAAACTTGTAGATTAGGAGTGGCCAAGTTATGTCTATAATGTGCTTTAAATATATATATATTGAGAATTACATTGGGAATTGTGAAAAACACTATGAAAGCACAACATATCTAATTTCTTCATGATATTATTGTAGAGTAAATCTGATTGGAGAATAATGTGACACATTGATGTAATGGTTATTTTATTAATTACTTCTGTATTATATCACTTTAAAGCTCTTTTCTGTGAATCATGGTATTTTTCTGTATCTTTTATGTCCATAAGTCTGTATTTAGTCTGGCTACCAGCCAATATCTGTCACTCTGAGATCTGTGCTACCTAACTGAATTCAAACTCAAGAGTGAGACTGTATGAAATATAAACATATATCTTCTTAACCAAATGCCACTTGTTTATTACATGTGTGAATCACACAGTCCGGTTTTCACATGGGAATCTAGCATATGTAATAAAAAAACACTATTCCAGAGCATACAATCCAGTCTGTTACTGAAAAACAAAATGTACTGTGTACAAACCATGCAATCTTATAGCTTTAAATGGTTAATAGTGATAATCTCTATTAATCTGTAACACAACAGTACTATGTTAACTAACTAAACTTATATGAAGTTCGAGGTAACAGCAATGACTCAATATTCAGTGTAACACTTTTAAGGACTATATCATGAATTGTTACTATACTATTTTTCACAAATTTTATTACATCCAAAGCTTTAGCAAAAATATTAAATATGAATTCACCACCTACATTGTGAATACTTGCAGGTACTTTCTACTTTTCAGCTGTAAAATAGACTTAAGTTGTATCTCTTGAGATACATACATACGTATCCAATTATATTTACATTTGGTATGATATTTTGCTTCAGAGTAGTCTAAGTTATAAATATTTTGCCTTTTCTTTACAACAATAAAGTTAACTAGAAACAATGCATGTAAACAGTGTTATTTTTCTTAAGTGTTTTACAAAACTGTTAAAAGCTAAAAAAAAAATATTTACCAACAGTGTTTGCTTCCAACTGTGACACCTGAATTTCTGCCCCAATGAGACCAAAAAGTATAGGCTGGAAAATCTTCCACAAGTAATTAAAAAATGTTCTTACGGGGTTCTAAAAAATAAAGATAATTAAACAAATTTGTCAAGTGATCACAGCTTTGTACACCATATTTAACTAAAACCTCACAAACAAAAGTTTTAAATATGAACAAAACTTTAATGAACAGTTCTAGCATATTTTTTACATGTTATACAATTCCAGTGACAAAAATATACTTAATGTAAACTGGTAGCAAAATACAATATGTCCAGTGCATGAGATATAACCTATAAAAGTTATATTTTTAGATCTTATGAACAGTTTAATGTTTTATTCTTGCATACAGATAAACTATCAAAACACTTCCATACACAGTTAATTTTCATTCTTCAAATACAAATATATTCCATCATCTCGAGATGTAAAGATGAATTTGTTTTTATAATCTACCCTAAACAAACACACATTCATATAAAGATAAGTAGGTTATTTCACACATAAACACACAGTGAATCAAAAACAAACCTGCTACTGAACAGTTTTACCAGTTGAAGAAATCTTTATAGTATCATAACTAATTTGTTACATTACTAACAATGCATGCAAAATTTCCATTGCCTTAAGAATCTGATATATAAAAATGAGGTGAGTTTTTGTGGGTTTGACTTAACTTAAAAAACTTTTAATTGTGCTTCATTTTGTACCAAAAAGTTTAGGTGGTCTGAACTACATAGCCATGGTGTTTGTGTAACTAAACAAGTTTCAAGACACAAGTTTTTCCTCAAAGACATCATCAGTTATTTACATGTGCACAGATTGAAAGCACATGTTAGTGCAGCAAATGAGGACTGTTATTACTGTTACAGCCACTACATTCTCGTTGAGTAATAATACCAGAACAATGGAATAACTCCAAATTTAGTAAGTTTACAGTCATTACAGCTTTTAAAGCTAAACTGATTCATTAGCTATGTGCATTTGCTGTTGAATGTTAAAACTTTTCTTACCTGAAAATGCATTTTTGATAGATACATATGGCATAGAGATTTGCATGTCACTAGTATTGAGGCAACCCCCACCTAATTTCATGTAATTTAACGTGAATTGTACTGTTGCATGATGACATTCTCATGCAACAAAAGCCCTTGACCAATAAGTGGGCAACAATCTCCATATGTGATAGCTCCCCCAATGCACTTGAACTCATAGTAATTTCATTCTTTGATGAGGCAAGTAAAATAAAGATACACTAGGAGTAGGAAGGGAGGGTATGTGAAGACAAGTATCTATCGGAAATACATTTTCAAGTAAGGGAAATGTTAACATCCGAGAAGATAATTTACCTATGCACACAGTCTAACTAGAACCCCATGTGAAGTAGTGCAATTTTTACCTTGATGAACTTCCTTCAGAAAACACACAAAGGAAGCCCATGGCAGGGACTCCAATATGGCACACCCATGGGGGTGTGTTTTTTTATAGCAAAGCCACACTGGGCTATATCTGCTGTGTCCACCAAGGGAAATCAAACCCCTGATTCTAACATTGTAAATGGGAGACTTCATCTTGTCTCATCCAGGGTATGCACTCTTTGCCTAGAATATAAGGGAGAAAGAGGCAAATGAGCCCCACGTGTCACAAGGACAGACAAATTGAGAACATGACTGTCCAAGTACTTTCACACAAGCAGTCAGATAGCTAATATGTGTAGTGTGGTTGGGGAATATTTAGACTGTACCTTGTGTGCATACTTCAATTCTATGAGACAGACTCCAGCTACAGGAGGATGGCACAGTAGTCATTCCTTCATGATTCATATATTGTGTGCATAACTCAACTCAACTGAACAGACATCAACCAGAGAAGGAGGGCATGTGAACTATGCAGTATGGTTACATACACTGTGAGCTCACCTCAACTCTGCTGGATAGACTCTGACTGCAGGAAGAGGGCACAGCATCATAACGCATGATCACCTCAACTCTACTAAACAGACTCAGGCTTTAGAAGGAGAGTACAAGTAGCATGAGTAAGGTATATGAAGAATGACCTGCAATACACTAACAGTGTCATGTCACTACCACCCCACTTATTACCATTTTGGTACTCTTTTGTATAGTAGTCCTAGCTGTTAAGTCCAACTGGATAGGAGTCTCCATGGCACACCACCTCAGTGGCTAAGAGCTGGTGAGTGGCTAGGGTCTCCTGTGCTCCACTCAGTGAAGGGGGGATTCATGTTGGAGAGACACAGAGAAAAGTACCCATTGGTCCTTCAGTCAGGAAAGGTATTTTATTGGAGACAGTGCAATGGGTAACCATGAAATCCTATTTTTAAAAGCCAGCAAGCACAAGCCAGAGAAGTGGGTAGAGCACTTCCCTAGTGCTAGCTTTTTCTATGACAGTACATGGAATACGTATGGTTTTGATTGGACAATTGAGTGAACAGATCTATAGACACCACAAGGATACCTCAAGTAGTCTTGTGGAAAACCCCACCTAATAGTGGACATAGAAGAAACCAAAGTGAATGGTACGAGCATTTTCGGTTATCGTGGCTAGATACAAACTTTGGGTAAGTATACCATGAAAGGCAACACCAGCCACCTGGTGAAAAAAGAGGTTCTGAAAGAGAAATAGTATGTATGTATGTATGTATGTATCTCATACATAGTGGACAGAACAAAGAATGGAGACCACTGGATGCCAAAAACCATCAAGAGATAATACAGCCAAAAAAGTGTAGAGAAGGAGATGAACGTGTGGATAGTGTCCATGTGCAAACCCAGAGGAGCTATCTTGGGGTCTGTGAAGAAGAGACATAAGAAAATGTACAAGGTGGTGAATCAAATGCGAAAAATGAGAAATACTCAGGGATAATCCACATCCTGAGATGAATATACCAACTGGAGGAGGCAATTGACCCATCCAGTATGGGTAGAAGGAGAGAGGTCCTCGGAAAAAGAGGGACAGACAAATACAGGGACCTCAAAAGGGAGAGGTCCATAAAAAGGCACACCAAACAGCTCAACAAGACACGGGAGCCAACCTTGGTCCGAATGGTCCAATAAGGAAGAGGCAAGAGAAAGGGAGACTGGAGAGAAGTACAATCAAATTTCTGAGTAGGCAAAGGCTGAGGAAAAAAAGATTAATTTGGTGAGAGGAGTATGTAAGTGTTGTGGAAGAAAGTGCAAGAAGCATCTATAGAACAGACCTCTGAACAACAGCAAACGAAGGTGAGGAGGAGGAGAAAACAAGTCAGGAGAGAAAGATGGCACAGAAGGGAGAAAATCAATGGCTCAAATTGGACAAGCACAAGACTGTTCAAAAGTTCATAAGGTCTCAAACAGGCATGAAAGTTGGGTGAGGAGAATGAAAGGAGCAAAACAGAGTGGAGAGTATAGGAGAAAAAACACCTCATGGTACAAGGAAAAGAGAAATACCATGGGTAAGGAATCCTGACATCCATTAAAGTCAGAGACCAACAAGCCATTAATAAACAGTCAGGGAAATAAGACAGAGAGGTGGTAAGCAGTATAATAGCCAGGAGGAAAGTAGGCAAAAGGACTAATGATAAATGACCTGCCACACTTGGTGATAGAAAAATGCAGTGAAATGGTGACAACAAAGTGATGAGAAGAATACCACAAAATTGGAAAGTCTAGTTTAATGGGTGACAGATCAGACAAATTCCATGCATGAAGATGAAGGGAAGACATCCTTCAAATGAAGAAGGAATAAACAGGAGGGAAATAAGAAGGGGGGATAGTAGGGAGAGGAAGGAGGGTCTGAATATCAAGCAGACCAAAGCTAACCTGGTGAAACAGGAGCCAACACTAGAAGAGAAATGTGAAAAGCCAAGTATCAGAGGGAGGATATAAATAGGAGAATAGGCATATAGAAAGAGGTGAGATCAAGCCTGGCTGAGAAAATTAACAGCCAAGCTCAAAAATGATGAATAGGGAACCATAAGAGAGGAAGCCCAAAGTTGAAAAGGGTGGCAAATGAATCGAAGAAGGGCATGTCCAACCAAAGGTAAACTCCATAAAAGTTTTGCTTGTCTTGGGGTGTAGATACCACTTCGTGGAATAATTTGAACTTTAAGAACTTTTTTTAAGAGTAACCTACATTTATTTAAAAATTCTATGCAAGTTTTTCTTAAAATAATTTTTATAGTTATTATATAATGATCAACCTTAAAAAGTGGCTAAATGTAATATTAGTACAATCATTGGGTAGGTCAAAGTACGTATATCACAACCTTTTACAGAATTACATTCAAAATTTAATTAAACTACTTTATTATCAATGTATATGAATAAACTTGTCTTCAAAACACAGCTAATAAATCAAACTTTAGTATAAGTTTTAAGTTCTGAATCTTATTAGGAAATATAAAAAATCTCAACCACTCATAGTATGAAAACTGTGACATTTGCTCTAGGTTTTCTCTCTTCTCTAGTTTATTTATCACAACTCCGAGAAGCATGTAATTTAACATAAACTACTCATTATAATACAATCAAAACATAATTTTTATAGCCTTCAATTTTATTTGGTTACAGAGCCATAAACTAGAAAATCAGATCTCTCTTGCCACACCCACCTGTTACATCCTCTCTTTCAAAAATTGCCAATATTTCTCTGACATTTAATACTATATTATTTATAACCAATAGAAAGTCAAAATTTTAACCTATCAAATGACATATCATATTACTTTGCTTTCTATACAAAAATAGTCTATTTATCTTTCAATTCAAACTTTATTCCCAAGGGAAATACATCAAGGAGATTAGCTGAATTTTTAATAGCTCTTATCACACAGTTAGAAAACTAGAAAAATTATGATGGTTATAGGACATTGTCTGCTTTTTACGTGTTATTCTTCTGTGTTCCTAGGTGAAGTATTTAATTAAATAAAAAATTATTTAGAGTGGTAGTACTATTAGTATAAAAAAGTAGGATAAATTTAATCAATGTTGACAGCAAAGAAAAAGAAGACCCAAGTAAGTGCTATATTGTTTTGCATGTGTACTCCTTATCTATTATTATAAAAGTAACTAAAATGTAAAAGTTAGAAACTTGTTAGGATAGATACGATTAGATTAAGTAAGATAAAGAATAATAAAAATTCTTCGTAAGGTATGCTTGCAAGCAGCTCGTGCATTACACAATTTGATAGGGTAACCTGAGCTACAAATTTACCGTGTGATTTACAACTTGTGTGGCAAGATTACTAGTTAGGCACACTTCTAAAGGCAAAAAAACATTACAATTAAGTATAAATAGATTTATAGTGTTACAAGCTTTAAGGTATTTAGGATAAACAACTGTGTCTTCCTTTTATAGTTTACAGTCATTCCAGAAAGAAAAAAGGGTAATTTAGAAATATGTCTTAATCTTTTTATGGTGGTTATAAGGTCAGTCAAATCAATTGCCCCTTTATAAAGTTATAATTTTGAAAATGAGCCATAAAATATAATTTTTTTCTGAAAAAGACACAAAAAACATTTGATATTTTTAGGAGGTTCTAGAGATTATGCAAATGAAATTTGAAAATTTTCAGATGAACAAAAGTATTTTTAATCTTAACATAAAAATTACTTTGCACTGGGAGCAGTCAACACTCTGACACCATATAATTCTGGACAAAGTTTTAGTAAAAATACTTAATTAAAAATTCTGATTTTTTGTCTATAAAAGACTTTTAATGTTTACTGAAAGCTTGCCAAGTTTTGTGAAGATACATTAAGTACTTTCAGTCATGGTATGTATGCCACCATAGTTATATGGTGGTTACAAGGTCATGTAAAATACACAAGCCCATTGGGATAGGCTTAAAGAAATTAAACTTACATCATCACCATCCCAAATGCCATCATCCCACTTCTGTTTCCTCCAACCTGAAGCTGCAACAAAAGCAAGTGATAAACAGCCCAGAGCACCAGCTCCGCCAAACTCCACTGCCCGACTTCCAAACATGATAAACAGTCCTCCAATGAGGAGCGCTGCTGAGCGTAGGATACTTAAAGACTTCTAAATATGAAAATATCTGTAATTACATGTAAGTGCAAGAAATACACAAGCACAAACACACATATACTTATGTACTGTGTAAGATATGTTATACCACAAAAGAAAGTTTAATCTTTCATTTATGAGCCCACTAATAATGACCAGATATTGATAAAATATTTCAATTAGCATCAGAGCTAGTGAAACCCAGTAATTGTTATTTTATAATTTATGTGTGCAATGTTCAATAAAAGATACTTATACTGTTGAAATATGTAATATTTTAATATAATTTAGTATTAAATGTTCCACTGTAAAACACAAGACCTTCAAACTCAGTGGTAGGTAACCATGGTTGTGCAAAACAGCAGAATATGGTTAATATGAATATTTTAGCATACACCACAATTGCAACTTGTAACCCACTTATTTGCTCTCTGTATAAACATAAAATAGGGGAAATGATCACTCTATCAAGGCTGTAGATGGACATTATAAAAAAATAGGTAAAAAATTAAAAGAAAAAAAACTTACATCATCTTTTGCAGGAACATGCCACAGAATAAAACCAAAAATACCACCATAGGCCACACCAACCATAGCCTCTAACGGTCCTTTGATTACTGTCCAAGCAACACTACCTATTCAGAAAAAAAGGTACAACAGAATGTTTTTATTTTGGAAGGAAAAAAACAGACACTTT